CAGGGCTTATTGCTGGCTCTGTGCTCAGGGAGCACTCGAGGTTGGGCTCAGGGAACCAAACATGGTGCTGGGGACCAAATCAAACCGAATCGGCCTCATGCAAGGCAAACCCCCTGCCCTCTATACCATATATTGCTCCAACCCCCACTAATCTTTTTTGATTTTTAATTGTGGTTTTGTTGTTGTTGTTGTTTTTCCGCACATGTCACTTCTGGCTCTGCATTCAGGACTAGTTTCTGTCAGGGCTCAGGGCTCATATGGGGTGCCTGGGATCTAAACCGTGAGCCACATGCAAGGCAAATGCTACATGCTCACAGCACTACGGCTCCACACCCCGCTCCAACCATTTTCGTTGTCTCCATAGTTTTACTTTATCCAGAATATTATGTAGTTGAGATGATAGTACGTAGGCTTCTGCATTTTTTTTTTTTTGCTTTTTGGGTCACACCCAGCGATGCTCAGGGGTTATTCCTGGCTCTGCACTCAGAAATTATTCCTGGCGGTGCTTGGGGGACCATATGGGATGCCGGGGATTGAACCCAGGTCGGCTGCATGCAAGGCAAACGCCCTACCAGCTGTTCTATCACTCTGGCCCCAGGCTTCTGCATTTGGCATCTTTCACTTCTTTCACAGCCACGGTCCTCCCGTTGTTCATCGATTTGCTCGAGCGGGCCCAGTAACGTCTCCATCGTGAGACTTGTTACTGTGTTTGGCATGTTGAATATGCCACGGGGAGCTTGCTAGGCTTTGCCGTGCGGGCGAGATGTTCTCGGTAGCTTGCCGGGCTCTCCAAGAGGGGCAGAGGAATTGAACCCGGCTCAGCCGGGCCGACTGCGCGCAAGGCAAACGCCCTACCGCTGTTCTATCGCTCCAGCCGCTTAAATATAAATGCAAGGTTCTTCTTTCATGGCTTAGTGACTCTTTTTGAGATTCCTATTCTCTTGTCTACATGTGCAACATTTGCTAGTTGACAGATAACTTGGTTGCTTCACAGCTTTGGCAATTAAGAATGAAGCTGCTCTGGAGCTGGAGCGATAGCACAGCGGGTAGGGCGTTTGCCTTGCACGCAGCTGACCCGGGTTCGATGCCCAGCTTCCCATATAGTCCCGTGAGCTCCGCCAGGAGTAATTCCTGAGTGCATGAGCCAGGAGTAACCCCTGTGTATCGCTGGGTGTGACCCAAAAAGCAAAAAAAGAAAAAAGAAGAATGAAGCTGCTCTCTTCGGGCGGAGTGATAGCAAAGCAGTAGGGCATTTGCCTTGCACGCAGCCGGCCCAGCCAAGCCAGGTTCGATTCCTCCGCCCCTCTCGGAGAGCCTGGCAAGCTACCGAGAGTATCGCACCCACACGGCAAAGCCTGGCAAGCTCCCCGCGACGAATTCGATATGCCAAACACAGGAACAAGTCTGACAATGTTACTGAACCCACTTGAGCAAATTGATCAACAATGGGAGGACAGTGACAGTCACAGTGAAGCTGCTCTCAAGTTTCTGTTTGCTTCCTTTGTGTGTGGATATGTTTCCAACTGCTTGGAGTAATGTCATTGGGCTTAATTACTGGATCACATGGTCTGATATGTTTAATTTTGTTATGAAACTGCCAAACTCATTCAAAGTACCATATCACTTTAAATTCCTACCAGCAGTGAATGAGCACAAAGTATGTTGCTCCACATTTTCACCAGCATTTAATGGTATCACGGTGCTAGACTTTGGACCTGTAGCCATGTCTTGTTTTAATTTGATTTTCCCTGATGAAATATGATGTGAATTTTTTTTGTTATGCTAACTTGCTGTCTGTATATCTTTAGTAATATAAACACTGTCTGTCCTCCCGTTGTTCATCGATTTGCTCGAGTGGGCCCAGTAACGTCTCCATTGTGAGACTTGATAGCACAGCGGCAGGGCGTTTGCCTTGCGCGCAGCCAGCCCGACCGAGCCGGGTTCAATTCCTCCACCCCTCTCAGAGAGCCTGGTAAGCTACGAGAGTATTCAATATGCCAAACTTTAGTAATACGGCATTTTTAATTTATTTAAGTTTGGGGGCTGCACCTGGTGTTGCTCAAAGTTTACTCCTGGCTCTGTGCGTAGGGGTCACTTCTGAGGATGTGGTGCTGGGGTTTGAAATTGGTCCTGGAGGGCAAAAGCCTTAATGCCTATCCCAGCTCCCCAGCCCTCCCCTTCACTTCACTTGTAAAAAGTACTTTCTCAGGTAAAATAATTCTGAGCTTTGGGTTTTTTTATTCTCTTAGCAGTTGTGGTGTGGGAATGTAAATCATCTGAGCCATACCCATAGTGCTTAGGGGATTATTCCTTACTTTATGCTCAGAGGTCATTCCAAGAGGTGTTCGAGAGAGACCATATACAGTGCTGGAAATCTACCACATCCCTTAGCCTCTGTACTCTCTCTCTCTCTCTCTCTGGCCCATGTATTTTTTTCTTTCTTTTTTTTTTATATAGTCTTCCATTTTTATTAATTTGGGCATTTTCGTGACTATGCCTGATGGTGCTCAGGGATCACTCCTGATGGCTATCAGGGGACCATATCCATGTGGGGGACCAAATCTGGGCAGCGATGTGCAAGGCAAGTGGCCTACCAGTCACAAGTACAAGCTCTCCAGTCACACACACATAAGTTTTTCCTTTGATTTTTTTGTAGCACTGTAGCACCAAATCTCACAATGGAGACGTTACTGGTACCCGCTCAAGCAAATTAATGAACAACGGGAGGACAGTGCTACAGTGATCTTTTGTAATTTGAAAATAATATACAAAAGTATAGTTGTTATTGGGTGATTTTTGTTTGTTTCTGTGTTTGTTTGGCATTTTTTCTGTCCTTTGTTTTCTGAGTTTGCTGGATCTATAGTTTCATGTTTGACAATGATTTGGGGAAATGCTCAGTCATGTTCTGTTTCAAATGTTTCTCAGGTTCTTTTTCTTGGTCTTCTCTAGGTATTCCCTTAACACATATTTTATACCTTCCATCCTTAGTTGTTCTTAGATATTCTGGTTGTTTGGTTTTTTTTTTCTTTCATTCTTTGTCCTATGGTTGTTTTTGGTTTTGAGAATTCTACTGAGAAACTCACAGCCATCCACTGTACTAAAAAATCTTCAATATCATGTTTCATTGCTGTCACAGGTTTTTTATCTCTAGTATTTTTTTTTTTTGGTTCTTAGGATTTATATCTCTCTACTTATACTAGCCATCTATTCTTGCATGCAGTTTACTTTCTCCATTAGAGTCCATATATATATATGACACACAGGCCAACCCTGAGGCCTACGCTTGGCCTGTGTCCTCTCCTCTCTTCTAGATCTAAGAGGAGTTATCGATTGCTCAGCCTAATCAGAGGTGACTGCCAAGCTCCTTACATGCTAAACTAGAAACTTGAAATCGCTTCTTCTCCACTATATGACTCCCAGGGAGAATTCTCTCCCATCTTGATGAATGTTTACAGACTTCACTGAGAGGCCGCATTCTTCAAGTCATCCTGAAATGACACTAAAACCAGATATGTCACTCATAGCCCTGCTTTGGGAAAGCTAGGAGACAAAACGTTGACAGGGCTAAGACACAAAGAAGAGACACATTTCAAGTTTTCTTAAACGACTTTAATTAGAAATTCCATCCCTCTATACAGTGTTTTCCAAGATATTACAAGGAGGAACTACAGGTGAAAATCATGTAAATGGGCACTACTGCGTAAGACTGTTGGACCAACTGACAGGACCAGGAGGCAACAGAAAGAAAACAAGGGAGTTGTGGTTGGAAAGTTGGAAAAATGCTCCTCTAACCATGGTCCTGACTCTGGAACAGCGTGCAATTCCTAATGGAACCAGGGGAGAAATGCATAACTGAAATTGAGGAAGGGTGGCCCTGGTCTCTCAATTTTCCATTCTAGTGTATGCAAATCATAGTTGTTGGCTAGGCCTTGGGATAATTATGTTCTTGACACTAAACCAGAGGTCTCTTTCTTCTTCTGATGCAAAACCTTCTACCTCCTTACAGGGGACCTCTTCAAAAACCCTTTGGAAATGTGCGTATTTCATATAGAAAAGGGCTGTTGCTGGTGGTGCCTGAGCATGCAGAACCAGGAATCAGACTCAGCACCCTCACAGGCTAGTTACATACTCTGCCACTTGAGATGGGAGCCATATCCACAGCTTCCAACATTCTTTATTCTTCTTTCTTTTTGTGGGGGAGTCACAGAGGGGTTGCTGGGTGTTTGAAGCAACACATGTATCGGCACGCTCTCTGCTACTGCGCTCCATCCCCAACCTCGTCACAGTCAATTGGAGGGACAGTTCTGTATTGACGCAAACATCTACACGTAGGACGCTTCTTGATGCAGTTACTGAGCTGGCTAAAGACCACTCAGGTCCAGAGAATTCCTGTCCTGCAGCCAACTCACTGTGTCAGTTGCTGCCCTTCACTATCTAGAGCGGGAGTTCATTAGCTCTGTTCTAGTAGGACTTGACCCTAGATAAAATCCAATTCCCACCGACTGATGTCTACTGTAGCCTCTTTCCGTTGAGGCCCCAACGTAGGGCTTAATAGCAGTTTGCAAAGCTGTATACAATAACAGCCACGGTCGTCATCTTGATTTCTATTAGCCGTTCTTCCTAAGAACAATTGAAGACACCTTCACAGTAATAATTTTAGGCAAATTTGCCTTTTCACCACCCCACCCCACCCCTCCCCCCAAAGAAAGGAAAGGGAGCAAATCCCATCTTTGACATTAAAAGGAAACACGAGCCCTGGAGAAGTCAGGGACCTGTTCCTGGTTCCACATCACATCTGGGCAAGGCGCTTTGGAGGCCTCTCACCCCCGACTCTGTTTCTCGGTCGACAGCGGCATAAGGCCAAAGGACAAAAATCTGACTCTTCCCCTCAGTTTCCCCATGAGATCTCTTCTCACTTTCTCACGTGGGCATTTCTCAGTGCCTTCCCGTCTCCTCCAGCCCTGCCCAGCCCAGAGCGCCAGCACCCCAGAGCTCTGCCCTCCTGCTCCTGTCTGGCTGGAAGCTTATTGGGTAGAAGACACCACATAGGCTGTGGCAATGTACTTCTTGCCATTTCCATAGGTGGTCTTGTCCCAGGCGTAGGTCTGGATGGCCAAGGGGTATCCACCGAGGCTCAGCTGGCACCTGTGGAGAAAGAGGGTCAAATCGCTGGAGCCGCTTCTCTCCAGCTGTGTCCTCTGGCTGCAAGGGTGCAACCCAGGCGTGCAAAATAGCTCCAGAGAACCATGGCCACTGCCTCTGGTGGTGTTCCAGGGACTGTATGTGATGCTGGGGATCGAACCCAGGTCAGCCACATGCACCGCAAGTGCCATAAGTTTCTGACTCTCTGACCACCCCCAAACAACCCTTTATCTTCTGTCTTCTGAAGGAACACTGCCCCTCATCTTCTTCAGGGCACTATTCTAAAATCCCAGGGCCTAAGAGATAGTACAGCGGGTAGGCACTGCCTGTGCACGTGGCCAATCCGGGTTTGATCCCTGGCATTCCATATGGCCTTTGGGCACCACCAGGAGAAATTCCTAAGCACAGAGGGAGGAGTAAGTCCTGAGCACTGACGGTGTGACCCCCAAAACCAAACCAAATCAAATCCCAGATTCTGGAAGGGTTGTGGGCACTCTAGTGACAGCACGATGGATTAACTTTGTACATCAGTGCCACATAGTTTAACACTACTCGAGCCACCTTGGCAAAGCGAAACTAAAGCCAAACAGCAAATTAATAAATAGCTAAAAATAAAAATATGGGGCCAGAGAGATAATACAAGCGTTAAGGTGCTTGTCTTGCATGTGGCCAACCGCGTTTCGATCCCCAGTAACACATGTGGTTCCCAGAGCACCACCAGGAATAATCCCTGAGTAAAGAGTCAGGAAGTAAGCTTCAAGCATAGCCAGGTGTGACCTAAAATCAAAATCAAAAAATTTTTTTTTCTTTTTGGATCACACCCGGCAATGCACAGGGGTTAACTCCTGGCTCTGCACTCAGGAATTACCCCTGGCAGTGCTCAGGGGACCATAAGGGATGTTGGGAATCGAACCTGGGTCGGCCACGTGCAAGGCAAACGCCCTACCGCTATGTTTTTTGCTCCAGCCCCAAAATCAAAACTTTAATAAATAAATAAGCCATAAAAAATACTAAAATCTCAATGTTGCAATTTTAGACATGTTCACAGGTACTCTAAAAGAGAATATTTCTAACTTCACTTGCTGCCAAAGATGGGGGAAAAATAAAAGGTGTTAGAGAACTTTTGTACTCAAAATAATTGAGTTAGGTGCTATGTTAAAAAATATTAGTTATATAACAAGTTTATTTATGTATACATGTATTATATATATTCACGTGTATTAGATATATTTATATATATTATATGTATGCATATTTCTATTAAATTCCTATAAAGATTCAGATTACTTTTAAAAGATCCTCATTTGGGGCTGGAGTGATAGCACAGCGGGTAGGGCGTTTGCCTTGCACGCGGCCAGCCCGGGTTCGATTCCCAGCATCCCATATGGTCCCCTGAGCACCGCCAGGGGTAATTCCTGAGTGCAGAGCCAGGAGTAACCCCTGAGCATCACCGCGTGTGACCCAAAAATTTAAAAAAGAAAACTTAAAAAAAAATAAAAATAAAAAGATCCTCATTTAAGACAATTTTAAATTAAAAAAAAATCTAATCCCAGCTTCTAGATCCCCCAGCCATGAATGATCTGCTCAAGGGTTTCAGAAGTACCAAGGACCTAGAGTTTTCAAATATTAGAGAATTGTTTCCAAATGTCCTCACTGGGACCTTTGGGTTCCCCAAGCAGCATCGGGAGCAAGCAGAGCGGCCTGACCCCTCCAAGGGCAGCTCCTCTTCGAACTTTTACATACCGTGGTCCTGTCTAACAGCACTTGGGAGGGGGGAGTTCTGCTGCTAAAATGAAGACTGGCTCCCCCCAGTTAATCTCACTTCACTTTGCCAAAGGAGAACACTTGGAGCCAGAAGGTGGATTTCCCCAAGGCCCCTAACCCCCCCCCCAGACGCAGAATGGGGGTCTCCTGGCTACTGACTGTATCTGGAGGGTCCCAGCCTGCTCCCCGGGCCCTGGCTGGCCCTTACTCACATTCTGCCTGGTCTGGCAATGAAGCACAGGGAGTAGAGAGCAAACTCAAACTCGGGGCTGCTGCCGATGAAAGCAGAGCCCACCTCCTTGTAGTAGCCATCCCAGTTGAACTGCATGGCCAGGACGTCGGGGTAAGAATCCCACTGCGGAGAGAAGAGTGGCAGAGTGGGACAGCGGCGGGGCAGATGGGAACAATCGGTCAAAATTGGTTGAGGGACCACTGGGGACTTGTGTCAGCTTTCCTGGGAACTTGGATTTCTGGGGGCGGGGGCGGGGGAGGCGTTTCTTTGTTGTTTTCTGTGATGAGCATCAAACCCAAGGCCTCATACACAACAGGCAAAAGCTTCAGTGCTAAGCTACATCCTGGGCCCTGCAGCTGAGTTGCTTGGAATGGACGGAGGAAATGGCCTTCCCTTGCTAAGGTGTCTGGCCCCGCCTGGGCCCCTGGAGCTGCAGATGCACCGACTCCTGGGAGGCCAGAGTCAGTGTGTCCCTCGGTCCTCACAGGTAGGTGAGAAGGGCAGATATTGCCTGGCCCACGATGACAAAGAATTTGGTTATTGTGTACTTTTTTAATGAAATGTCATGAGTATGAGGCTGGAAAGACTTATACTCCTGGTTAATATAGCACTGTAGCACTGTCCTCCCGTTGTTCATCGTTTTGTTCGAGCGGGTCTCCATTGTGAGACTTGTTGTTACTTTGTTTGGCATATCGAATACGTCGCAGGGAACTTGCCAGGCTTTGCCATGTGGGCGATATTGGTTAATATATATACTTATATTTATATATATAACATATATAATGTCCTTGGGAGGTGGGAGGGATACTGGGATCAGTGGTGGTGGAGAATGGGCACTGGTGGAGGGATGGGTACTCGATCATTGTATAATTGAAACCCAAGCACAAAAATTTGTAAGTCTACAACTGTACTTCGTGGTGTTTCACTAATAAAAATTAAAAATATATATATTTATATATAATGCCCTGTCACTGTCATCCTGTTGTTCATCGAGTTGCTCGAGTGGGTCCAGTAACGTCTCCATTGTGAGACTTGTTGTTACTGTGTTTGGCATACCGAGTACGTCACGGGGAGCTTGCCAGGCTCTGCCGTGCGGGCGATATTGGTTAATATATATACTTATATGTATAACATGTATAATGTAATATATAATGTCCTGTCATTGTCCTCCCGTTGCTCATCGATTTGCTCGAGCAGGCACCAGTATCGTCTCCATTGTCTCCATTGTGAGACGGTTATGTATTATAATGTATAACATAAATATATAATATATATAACATATAATATAATACTTGTACTCTTGGTGAAAGCTCTTGCCTTGCACATAGCCAACCCTGGTTCTATCCCTGGCACCACGTGAGCACAGTCATCACTTCCATTCTGCCTGGCCTGGCAATGAAGCATAGAGGCTAGCGGGCACTAATGTCAGGAGTTTAACTCAGACTAGCCAGGCGGAAACTTCCAACCAGGGCTTGTTCTGAGGAGGCGTACCCGGGAGAGAGGTGCTGGCCCGTTGCTTTTCCCTCGAGGGCTCCCCTTCCCCTGCAGCGGCTCCCGTCCAGAGAGGGGCCCTCTGCCGCCCGAACTCCCTGAAGTACTAGAAGCTTCTCTGTCTGGAGGGACACGTCAGTGAACTCCCTGGCAGAACTTGCCCTTCAGCAATCAGGGAGCGCAGATACTAACCAGCCTTTCCACCCAGGTTCACTGGGAACTCACCGGCCCGTCGTAGATGTGGCTGTAGTAGTCGACCAGACCCTCCTTCTCCTGCATGTAGAAGCGGATCCAGTTGTGGAAGCCAGTGACCTTGCCTTTCTTGATTTCACCTACAGCAAAGGATGGGGGGTTGGCCTTCCCTCCAGTCCCCACCCCCACCCCTTCCCATGCTCAGGTCCGCTTCCTTCTCCAGCCTCTGGACCCCAGGATGCCATGTTGCCCTGCCTTCCCAGAGTGCCTTGTGCCCCTCTCCGCCCTGCATTTAACTGGAGCCCTTGTCAGGGTTCCCCTCCCAGCTAACGATGGTCAGGGATACTCGTCCGTCATTTCTCCTAGAGCACTTCGTGGTGGTGGCGGTGGAGGTGTTTGGTGGGGGAGGAGGAGGGGGGATAGTTAATCAAAAGGAAGAAGGACCTTGGTCCTTTGGGCAAGTAGGTAATGATGCTCGGAGGGCAGAGCACCGCCCAGAGGTAGACAATGGATAACGGCATCCCCAAGCCGTTCACCTTCCTGCATGTGGCCCCTGGTAGCCCCAGTTTCTGATCTTCCTCTCCCTTAGAAGGAAGACACTGTTCTTCATAGGTGGCTCCTCCGACCCTCTCCTAGGCCCCACCCCTGGCTCTCTAGTGTGGCTGCTCCCAAGAAAGCCCTTTCTCCTCATCCCCCCAGCTCTTTCTTTCCAAAGCAGAGGGCCCCCACCTGAGAAAACGTGTTCAAAGCCGCTGGAGTCTCCTTCTTCACTGCCTCTTGAGTAGAGTCCAAACCACATGTTCTTCAAGTCATCGACAAACTCTTGTTCTGAGTTGTAGCGGTCTGGAGGGTATCACAAAGGACTCAGGAAAGAGCGAGGTAGGGCCAGATTCTGGGCATCAAAGAAGGGCCCCGACAGCCCAGGAACAACGTAAATAATAACGGGCGGGGCCAGAGCAGAACAGAGGGTGGGACACAACCAAATTGGGTTTGATCTCCTGGTCGTTCATATGGCTCCTAGAGTCCTCCAGGAGTAATTCCTGAGTACAGAGTCAGGAGTAACTCCTGAGCACCACTGCATGTGACCCCAACACTCCCCTCAAAAAACACCCAAACGATAACTGGCCGAGGGTCATACCACTAGTAAGTCACAGAGCTAGCTAAGAAACACACCAAGTCTCTAAACTCTTGACCACTGAAAAGACTAAATGCCTCTTGTGAGCCGGGCGTGCAGCTGCCCAGATTTGGTGGGCTGTGAGCTGGAATTTAAGCACGAGGGGGATTTGGACAGAGAAATAAGCAAAGACAGGGTCAGTCTGAAAAATGCCGCCTCAGCATCCAGGCCCAGAGTTCTGGCCCCGGATTTGCTTACAACTTCCAGGGCAATTTTTGTTGTTATTTTTCTTTGGGGCTTACTCCTAACACCGTGCTCAGAGGTCATTCCTAACAGTGCTCAGGGCAACCTAACGGGTCGGCCGCATGCCAGGCAAGTGCTCTGACCACGGTGCTACCTCTCAGGTCCTCTTTCCTGGTGATTTTTTTTCTTTTTTGGGTCACACCCGGCCATGCACAGGGGTCACTCCTGGCTCATGCACTCAGGAATTACTCCTGGCGGTGCTCGGGGGACCCTATGGGATGCTGGGAATCGAACCAGAGTCAACCATGCACAAGGGAAACGCCCTGCCCCCTGTGCTACTGTCCCAGCCCCTCCTGGTGAGTTTTATTTTATTTTATTTTTAATTTTTATTAGTGAAACACCACGGGGTACAGTTGTAGACTTACAAATTTTTGTGCTTGGGTTTCAGTTATACAATGATCGAGTACCCATCCCTCCACCAGTGTCCATTCTCTACCACCAATGAACCCAGTAGCCCTCCCACCCTCCATCCCCCCATCCCACCTTGCCTCTGTGGCAGGGCATTCCCTTTTGTTATCTCTCTCCTTTTGGGTGCTGTGGTTTGCAAAAAGGAATTGAGTGGCAATCATGTTTGGTCCATAGTCTACTCTCAGCACGCATCTCCCATCCTGGGAGGATTCTCCCAGTACCCTTTATTTGGTGCTCCCTACTCTATCTGAGCTCTCTTTTCCCCTAGCGTGTGTGGCTGGCCTCCAAGCCATGGAGCAAAACTCCTGGTACTTATCTCAGCCATTCTTGGGTGTCAGTCTCCTATTTTGTTACTTTATGTTCCCCAGATGTATGCAATCTTTCTATGCCTGTCTCTCTTTCTGACTCTTTTCATTTAGCGCGATACTTTCCATGTAGAACCACTTGTATGTAAATGTCATTACTTCATCTTTTCTAACAGCTGCATAGTACTCCATTGTGTAGATGTACTCCTGGTGAGTTTTAAACCTGCTGTTTGGCCCCCTCTTCCTCCCATGGGAAAAGCAGCGGAGCCCGCAAGTCAGCCGGACGCCTTCGCGTGCGCGAGCGGCCGCCAGGGGGCAGTGCAGGCACGCCCTCCCCGGCCACGCTGGACCGAGTGCGGAGCATCAGGACCGGACCTGCCGCTCGCCCCTTCCCAGCAGGCTCCCCCCCGCCCCCCAGGGCCGCCCCAGTCCGCACCCTCAAGGCCGGCCGAGCTCTCCTGTCGGGGCCTTTGGGAGCCGCTGCCACTGCCAGCCTAGCGTCGTGTGAAGGGGCTGAGCGGGAGGCGGAGCCAAGCCCACCCCCCTGGCCCAGAGCTCTGAGCATCCGAGGACCAGGCGGGGTCGGGGACAGCCGACCACAAGCCCAAGACGGATGCTCTCCACCCGACAGAGCTGTTCAGCTGCTCCTGGGGCCGTGAGGGGCGGAGGGGGCACACCCAGCAGTGCTCAGGGTTATTCCTGGTTCTGTGCTCAGAAATTACTCCGGGCACTCCTCAGGGAACTCTCTGGAATGCCTGCAATTGAACCCTGAACAGCTGCATGCAAGGCCAATGCCTTATCCACTGTGCGGTCACTCCAATCCCTCTAGCACTGCAGCACTGTCCTCCTGTTGTTCATCGATTTGCTCAAGTGGACACCAGTAATGTCTCCACCGTGAGACTTGTTACTGTTTTTGGCATATTGACTACGCCACGGGGAGCTTTGCCAGGCTCTGCCGTGCGGGTGGGATACTCTCCGTAGCTTTCCGGACTCTCTGAGAGGGACAGAGGAATCGAACCTGGGTCGACCACGTGCAAGGCAAATGCCCTACCCACTGTGCTATTGCTCCAGCTCCTCTGGTCCCTAAATGTAAAATATCTTTAAAAAAATTTTTTTTTGGTTTTTGGGTCACACCTGGCAATGCACAGGGGTTACTCCTGGCTCTGCACTCAGGAATTACTCCTGGCCATGCTTGGGGGACCATATGGGATGCTGGGAATTGAACGCGGGTCACCGGACTGCAAAGCAAACTCCCTACCCGCTGTGCTATCACTCCAACCCCCTTCTCCAGTGAATTTAGTTGTTGTTTTTTTCCTTTTTTTAAGTCACACCCAGCGATGCACAGGGGTTACTCCTGGCTCTGCACTCAGGAATTACACCTGGCTGTGCTCAAGGGACCATATGGGATGCTGGGAATTGAACCCGGGTCGGCCGCGTGCAAGGCAAACACCCTACCCGCTGTACTATCGCTCCAGCCCATCATGAGAAATCTTCTTGTTTTTTTTTTTTTTGTTGTTGTTGTTGTTGGGGTCACCCTGGCTCCCCACTCAGAAATTACTCTTGGCAGTGCTCAGGGACCATACAGGATGCTGAGGATCAGACCCAGGCTGGCCACATGCAGGACAAATATCCTCCCCGCTGTAGTGTCACCCCCCCACCATGATCTCTTCTGAGCTGCCGCTCTCAGATGGACACTGGCTTCCACTCCTCCCACCTTTTGTCACCTGCCCTCTGGAGCTCTGGCTGTGCAGAGCCCTGGGGGCACTTGGCTGCCCAGCACAAAGACCTGAGTCCTCGGGCAATTCCCAGGGCTCACTCACTCTTGTGATGGAGGAAGCCGTAGAGCTCCTTCATGCTGGCCGTCTTCATGACCTCTGCAAGGAAGGCATCCTGCTCGGCCAGCTGCTGGGCGCTGAAGTGCTCCCCCTGGCCCGTCCTCCGCTCGTAGTTGTTGAGGAGGTTGATGAAGGCTGCGTAGGTCGGCTTGGAGAACAGCTTCTCATTGACATAGGTGAAAAGCCTGGGAGAGGCAGAGGAGAGGCACTGAGAGGCCTGAACACGGAACGACTGGACAGCCGGGGGGTGGGGGTGGGGGTGGGGGTGGGGGTGGGGGGCACGGGCGGGCTGGCTCCAGGGCAGAGCGGGCGCTTCAGAGCCTCATGAAGACTGTGTGTGAGGTCGCTCTTTTCTTTCTCTCCAGCCCTACCTAGAAAGGACCTCCACAGAAGCCTCCCTACCCCACTCAAGAAGGCCCTCAGAGAGAGAAGGGAGCACCAAGTAAAGGGTGTTGCGAGGATCCTCCCAGGGTGGGAGAAGCATGCTGAAAGTAGACTATAGACCAAACATGATTGCCACCCATTGCCTCTTTTGCAAACCACAGGACCCAAAAGGAGAGAGAGAGAACAAAAGGGAATGCCCTGCCACAGAGGCAGGGTGGGATGGGGGGAATGGGGGGGACAGGGGTTGGGAGGGATACTGGGATCCGTGGTGGTGGGAAATGGGCACTGGTGGAGGGATGAGTATTTGATCATTGTATAATTGAAACCCAAGCACAAAAGTTCATAAGTCTACAACTATACCTCATGATGTCTCACTAATAAAAATTTTTTTAAAAAGGCGGCCCTGGAGACCCTTTCATTCCTTTGCACCTTTGCTCTAACTAAGCCCTCAGAAGAAGCCAAGCGGAGGAGAGATGTTGTAGGGGAGCGGGGAGGGAGGCTCACGGCTCTGGGGAGCGGTCCACCTGCTCCCCTGTCTGCGAGGGGGAGATGCGGTTCTGGCTGTTGAGAATGATGTCTTGCTTCTGCGCCTTGTTGGTGTCTGCCGCGTAGATCTTCTCTGAGATGCTCTGCAGTTCCTCCTGGGTCACAGCATTGCTGCTGTGGGAGAAACCCTCTGGGAGGGGCCCGGGGGGCAGGCAGTGTCAGAGCCAGGGAGGCCCATGCACACCCACTCCCTACTCGGGCACCTTTGAGAAGCCAGCAGTGAGAGAAAAGGGGGTTCATCAGGTTGGAGTCATAGCATGGTGGGTCGCGCCAGCCAACGGGGCTCAGTCCCCAGCATCCCACATGCCAGGAGAAATTCCTGATTTCAGAACCAGGAGTAACCCTGGAGCATTGCCAGGTGCACAGACCCCCCCTCCAGAAAAAAAAGAGAAGGAGGAGGAGGAGGAAGAGGAGGAAGAAGAAGAAGAGGAAGAAGAAGAGAAGGAAGAAGGAAGAAGGAAGAAGGAAGAAGGAAGAAGAAGAAGAAGAAGAAGAAGAAGAAGAAGAAGAAGAAGAAGAAGAAGAAGAAGAAGAAGAAGAAGAAGAAGCAGACACTGGACCTGACGGACTTAACGGCCAGTGCCTGGCCTCCCCCACAGATGTCCACCTTGCCTTCCCCGAGGCATGCAGCCCATCCCCTGCCCAGTAGGCTCAGCCCAGACCCTCTGCAGACTCTGCAGAGTGTGCACAAAGTCGCCAGCGCTGCAGAGCCAGGCAGTACCCTGGAGGACAGTTGTGACTATCGGGGCTACGAAAGGGGCCGGGAACTAACCGTGGCCACACAGGCTCTCAAAATCCTCACAGCAGTCCCCAAACTCGTGGCAGCGGGCGTTGCAGTGGCACGCATGGTGCCTGTCGAAGGCCTCGTGGCAGCGGTCCCGGCAGGAAGTGGGCGCCGTGTACAGGTCTGCAAGGACGGTGCCGTGTCCCCTCAGGCCCCTAGAGGGCGCGGCCAGTGGCCGGTCCCCTAGACCCAGCCCCCTTTGCTCTGCCCTCCTGCTGAAGATCTCAGGCAAGGGAAACCAACAGGCTGATCCCTGCACACACCCTTCTGGGCCAGGAAGTCCATTCTGAAGCTGAACTTGACTTTTCTGGCCTGTTGTTTTCATAATCTTCCCACTCTAAAAATAAAGGCTCTTCCACTTCCTTCTCGGCCTCTCCACAGGCCTCAGACACTTTCCGGCTTGCACACCCACTGCCCAAGTCCTTTCCGCCCCAGGGCACCGCCCCCACCTCTCACCGCCTCCAGGTTCTGGCTTCGGGGTTCTGGCTGAGGCCTGGGCCCTTGGTGAGAGGTACCGCTCCCCCCTCCCCGGCACTCTGGGGTTTCCCTTCTCCCAAAGTCTCTCTCCGGGGAGGAAAACTCACTGCTCGCCCGGGCCCCCTCCGACGCTTCCTCCAAGTCTGGGGACGGTGCTGGCGTTTTGAGATCTGCTCCATCTGAAGGTCAGAGAAGAAAAGCACCAGCCACTTACAAGGCTCCCTTTCTCCTCTCAACCCTCCACTCCCCTTGCCCCCCCCCCCTTTTTTCAGCTCTCCCGGCATCATTGTGTTTGGTGAAAAGGCAGAATGGTCTGGAGAGATGGCTCAGGGGGCTGGCACAGACTCTGCGTTCAGGAAAGGTCTCCCGGAGCACTGCCAGGAGTGACCCCTGAGCACCGAGCCAGGAGGAGTCCCTGAGCACCACAAGGTGTGGCCCCAAACCAACTAAAAAAAAGACAGAACAGGAGCTAGAATGTGAACGGGTTAACAGGAGATGGAGGAGGGGAAATACTGAAAATAAAAGAAAGAAGGCCGTCGAAACCTGTCACAGAAAGTGAGAAGAATGCCACCCATGTGACAGCCCTTCGTACGCCTCCTTGTGCATTCCGAGCCGGGTGACTCATCTGCGAGAAGGGGAGAGGGCAGGAGGTCGTCCCTTCTAGAGAGAAAACTCTGGCTTGGGTTGTGGCTTCTCTCGCGTGGAAGTCGACGAATGGCTGGGCTTGACATTCTCCATCTGACACAATCCTCACTTAGAAACCTCCCTTACCTTAAAGGACTTCCTGTCGGAGTCAAGGGTGAATTCCTCCCCAGGTCTCCCAGGAGCAGGGGCTGTTTCCTGAGATACCAGCAACTCCTCTTTCCCACAACACTTGGCACAGGCCACACATTGTGTTAGAGGGAGGGAGTGTCCAGAAAAGCACATTCCTCCTGCTGTCCCGTCCCCTCCGCCCGCATCCTCCGCTCTGGCACAGAAGGGTGGGGTGGGGTGGGGAAGAGGAGAAGGAACGTTTCTGGGTTTCCTGACCTCCTCTCGTGACAGTGGAATCATGTCCCACAGAGAAACACTATTCCGAGACTAACACCCGAGAATAGATCAGTACCAGGAGGTTCACTCCATGGCTCGGAGGCCAGCCGCACATGCCAGGGGAAAAGGCAGCTCAGATAGAGAAGGGAGCACCAAATAAAGGTGTTGGGAGGATCCTCCCAGGATGGGAGATGCATGCTGAGAGTAGACTATAGACCGAACAAGATTGCCACTCAATGCAAACCACAGCACCCAAAAGGAGATAGAGAACAAAGGGGAATGCCGTGCCACAGAGGGTGGGATGGGGGGATAGGAGGTGGGAGGGATACTGGGATCCGTGGTGGTGGGAAATGGGCACTGGTGGAAGGGTGGCTACTTGATCATTGTATAATTGAAACCCAAGCACTTTGAAAAATTTGTAAGTCTACAACTGTACCTCATGGGGTTTCACTAATAAAAAAGAAAAGAAAAAGAAACACTATTCCACAGTCATCCCCAGTCTAGCCATGTGTTCGCCGGATGGCTCTGTTATTCCACCAGAACCTTGGACCTAGTTACTGGTTCAGTGATCTGATGCCCAATGCTGAGCCAGGCTGTGTGTAAGCGTTACAATCCACAGAGTTCTCTATTTCACCACATTTTGCTCCAGACAGACTCTGATGGGTTGGTCAGGAATCTCTCCCATCACGGACTTTAGTTTCTGTCAGAAAATCATTTTGGGCTGTGAATCAGAGGCATAGAGAGGAACAGGCTGACTATTATCTCTCTCGACCTGCCAGCCTAATGCTGCCAAGTGACCAGGCTCCCCCTGTGTCATAGAAGGGGTCCAGGATGCAGAATATGGGAAGGTTCTGATCAGAGCTGGTGCTGGGCTCTGGGCCTGGTCAGCAGAACCTCCGCGATGGAGATGGTGCTTGTGTATCCATTGAATAAAGGCCCTTCTGGGTGGAAGTAGCTCTGTGGACATGTGGCCGACTCGGATACCTGTGGAGAAACTCCTTTCTTGGAGCGGACAGAGCTCTTCTTCAAAGGAAATGGTTTTGCAAGGAAAGTGCAGATGCCGTTGGCCAATGCAGCCAGCCTGGGTCTCGATGCCTATCAGAGCCTCGGCGACCCATGTGGCTTGACAGTGAACTTGGTGAGGTGCTGGGTCACCAAACAGAGATGAGGCTTCTGGGAGTCCATGACACTGGAACAAGGGGATGATTCAAAACGATGTTTTTAAATGATTCCTTTTTAAACTGGTGACATCAGAGCAGGGGAGGAGGAATCATTGGCTTCTGAGGAAGCTTGCGTCCATCTTGTGATTGCCGGACTTGGAATGACAGGTTGGAGGCATGGTGACCTCCTGCTCCACACGTTCCAGAAAAAAGAAAAAGCAATTTGTGACAGTCATTGCGACACGAGGTGCCATTTTAGTGGCACCCAAGTCGGGGGGCATTCGCTGCCCGTGTTCATGCTTCCGGAGCAGAAAAAAGGTCAGGCAACAATCGTTAATGTCATACATGCTCAGTAACACTTTGATCTGTTTTGAGTCATTGCTTACACTTTGGAACTTATTATTCATTCCGATAGTACAGACAGATGTTCAGACAGATATTCTGGGTAAATGACATCTATCGTTTTCAAGTTGGAGTTTTAGGTGGGGAACATTCTAGGAAACCTAAGACCAGCAGTGGCCGAATGCCTGCTCTGCTCTCAGCATCCTTTTGTCGGCCCTTTGAACCCATAACCTACCCCAAACCCTGCTCTCCCTCCTGCGGGAGTCAGGCTGGGGGCTGGGGGTCACCTGCCAGCTGCCAATCACACTAGCTAAGTGTGGCCATGGCCTGGCCTTCTGAGCTCCCAGACCCTTTACCCCACAAGCACCTCACCAATACACAGACTCTCGAAGTCTTCACAGCAGTCGCCATGCCGGGGACACCGGGGGTCACACTGGCAGGGAGCATCCTGGTTAAATTTCTCACTGCAGCGAGATGCACACGACTCCATTTTCCCTAAGGACAAGAAAGGTCACAAGCTCCAATCCATGAGGACCCTAGTTCCGACCAAGGTACCAAGGTCTGCAGGAGGGTCACTCTCGGGGCAGGGCCCTCACCCTGGCAGGAAAGCTCCTTGCGTCTGTCAAGTCAGATGCGTCAGCCGTCTGCTTGCTCTGCCTGGTTGTGCACCCAGACTCCAGCCACCCACCAGCCACCAGTATTGGGAGGCTCCCACCTGCTGGGACGAACCTCTCATAGATAACGGCGCAGCGCAGCAGTAGGAAGGGGCAGGGACAGTGTCCTGCGTGGAACTGGCAGCAGTTTGTTTTGGGTCAAACCCAGAGATGCCCAAGGGTTCCTCCTGGCTCTGCACTCGGGAATTACTCCTGGCGGTGCTCTGGGGATCGAACCTGGGTTGGCTGCATGCAAGGCAAGTACCCTCCCTGCTGGACCATCGCTCCAGCCCCAAGACACCCTGTTTTCTATGTAGCCCCCTCCTGATTTTTCACAATGCTGGGATCCAACCCACAGTCTCACACACAAGAAGCAGAGGCTACAGCCTCTGTCCCTGGGCCCATCTCAACCCCTTTCCAACTTTTAAAAGATCCAGGCTGCGCCAGAGAGGAAAGCCACTTGCCTTGCCTGTGATAGACCTGGGTCTAACCCCCAGCACCCCATGAGGTGCCCTGAACCTCACAGGAGTGACCCCTGAATGAAGAGCCAGAAGGAAGCCCTAGGCACCAGCAGTTTAGGGTGGTATTTAAAGAAAAGTGTTCCGCTGGATCCTAGAAAGATCTGTGGGCCGCGTGTTAGTGACCAGCACCTGTCACGTGGATGAAGGTGTCCCTACTGCCCTCTGGTGCCTGCACCCCGCCGACCCATCTGCTCACCCGTCCCTCTGCCATCCTCACTTTCTCTGCTCCCCTCCCCCACCCCATCAGGTGATACCCTCTGCACTGCTTCCCAGTCTCATCTTCCCATTGCAAACAGTCGCTGGGATGCAGCTGGATTCATTTCTGCACAGGGTGGGGAATGAGGCAGGTGTGGGTGAGAACTAGGCTCTGGAAGAGGATTCTGTTACGTAACCACAGACCACATCCAGGACTGCAGCCAACTGCTCGCAGAAATAAGCCTGTGGGTCCCAAGGAGAGTTTTAAGACAAGAAATGTCAAAGGAAACGGTACAAACCCACACTACAAACAAGCCCCAGCGTGCCCCCACTGCCCTGGCAGCAGCGGGTGCGAATGACCGGCCTGCCTGAGTTAGGGGTCATTTCCTTGCCACCTGGGCTCCAAGGGTGATGACAGAGTCTTTGTTTCCTTTTGAGGGTCCTGAGGTTTGGAGTTAGCCATTGTTGGGGTTAGGGGCCAGGCTGTGTGTGTCAAGAGCAGAGTCAGAATTACTCTTAGCTTCAGAATTTGTCAGAATGAGGAAACGAAAACCTCACTGGGGCCAGTTAGGGTTAGTTGGGTTAGTTAGGTTTAAATTAAGAGCTACGGGGGGAATCCTGTTTTAGGAAGCCACCCCATAATCTGGGAGGTCCTGTGTTCTTTTCCCTTCCCTTACAATCTTTCCTGAATTTGAAGGGATTAATCGGTTGATTGACTAAGAGCTAGTTAGGATCTGGGCTTGCAGTAAATTCATACATAAAATTACTAGTTTGTGCCGCCATTGGTTTAAGGCATGGGGTAAGTTTTAGACCACAGTCAGAGTTGAGGAACGTGTCAAGGTTAGGAGGGAAGAAATAATCCTAGATCTGCCTTGGATTAGACTGGGGGCTTGATTCTGGAGGGTGATTCCCTGGAGCTGCATTTAAACCCAGCCGGAGTGGGGTGGACGTCGACACTGGGCTTAGTTATGGGTTAGGAGTCTGTGACCGGGGCTTGTATGATGCTAATGAAAGTCGCAGAGGAGACAGCCCGAAGTCCTGGTCGCAGGTGCCAGACTGAGGCTCAGAATTCTGGTTCAGCTGCTTTGCAGGGCTGCAACCCGGGCAAGGTCTTTGACCTCTGTGCCTCGGTTTCTTCATCTGTACAGGGGTGACAAGAGTGGATTGATCCCATCTCCTAGGGTTGTGGTTTGTTTGGGGACCACTCCCACCAATGCTCAGGAACTACTCCGCTCTGCGCTTCCTTCCAGCAGTGTTCAGGGGGAGCTGTAGTACCAGGGATCCAACCAACTTAGGCCTCCTACATCATGCAAAGCAGGTGCTCCAGCCCACTGCGACAGCTCTCTGGGTCCCTTAAGAATTAAACACATGGGGATGGAGCAATAGCACAGCAGGGAGGGCGTTTTCCTTGCACACAGCCGACCCGGGTTCGATTCTCAGCATCCCATATGGTTCCCCGAGCACCGCCAGGAGTGATTCCTGAGTGCATGAACCAGGAGTAACCAGGAGTAACCCCTGTGCATTGCCGGGTGTGACCCAAAAAGCAAAAAAAAAAAAAAAAGAATTAAACATATCCTGGTTGGGTTTTTTTTTTCTTTTTGGGTCACACCCAGCGATGCGCAGGGGTTCCTCCTGGTTCATTCACTCAGGAATCACTCCTGGCAGGGCTCAGGGGACCATATGGGATGTTGGGAATCGAACCCAGGTCAGCCATGTGCAAGGCAAATGCCCTACCCGCTGTGTTGCCGCTCTAGCCCCAAACACATCCTGGGTTTAAAGCCCTTGAAGTGTGGGCCTGACAGCAGCGGCACGTGTGTGTTTGTCCACCCAGGGCCAGGGCCACCATCAGGGCGGTGGGTGTCCAGACCGGCTGGAGCAGTCTTTCCTGCTGCGTTTCGGCTCACTGATGCCCTTCCTGCATTTCGGGGAACCATCCCTTGGGCTGGGATGTCTGTGTGTTTACGCTGCTAACAGTTTCCTAGCTGACATCATCCCTATGGTCAGTATTCTTTACCTCAAAGGCGGATCAGGTCGGGGTAAGCCCAGGTCCATTGCGTGTGGCGCCTCCAGACGGATGAGGGAGGCACATCTCTCACCCACCATGAGGGGTCCCCCAAAATACCAGGTCCAAGGCCACTTGTCCCTTCCAGCCCAGGGCAATGCCTCTTGAATCTTAAGTGACGTTCCCTTGAATCGCAAATGTCAAGATCCTAAGGAGAATTTTCAGCCCAGGAGGAAGCCTCTGCCAGCCGCCTGCTCCGTCTGCCTGGCAGTACACCCAGAATCCAAAGTGGGGGAGGATTCAGACAAACCAGGGCAGTGTTTCTAACGGGCCAGGTCAGCAGAGTTCAGGGAAGAATTCAGCCCATTCCAGCAGAAAAGGCTGCGAGAACAGTCAGCTCCAGGCGCTCAGGGGAGCCAACGTTGGCCCTTGCTGAGGGACCTTGTCATTCCCAGTTAAGAACTTTGTCCCCGGCCAGAACCCGTTCCAGGGGTTCTTCACCTGTGCCTGTAACTGATCCTCAGGCTTCGTGACAACCTGAGGATTTGGGCATAAAGGGGCTTTTCCTCACCTGACTGAACTGTTCTGAGGACACTCAGAGGACTGGTCACCCCAACTCCTCTAAGCCATCCTGCGTCCACCTCCTGTTCACACAAAGCAAGTGCCTGGGCACAGCAACCGTCTGCCCTTGCCTCTCTGCCTCACGTCTCGCAGTGTCTCCTTCTGTCTTCCTCCATTTCTATCCAAAGAATCAGGCCTTACCGACCTCCAGGTCCTCCTCCACTTCCCGTGAGAAGCATAAGGCCTCCCTTCTTGCATGAAATACTTTCTCCACTTCTTCAAAGTCTTCATTCTGCAAGAACCCCCACTCCTTATCTGTCCTGCTCTGCCCCGCACCTGTGTGTCCCTCTCTTCCGGCACTCGGATCTCCAGATGGTTGGGCCATCCTCCACCCATGCCTCTCCATGGGTTCTAGATGATATTTCCACGGACGCCCAGTCACTCGAGGAGATTCACTTCCAGTACCAGCTGTCTGCCTGAGTTCACCTGAAGCCACTGAAGATCTCCAGAGGGCAACATCTCTCCCTTAGGGAGCTAAGTTCTACTGCTTGTTTATTTGGGGGCCACACCCAGCTGTTCTTGGGGCTTATTACTCCTGGCTCTGCACTCAGGAATCAGTCCTGGGGGGCTTGGGGGACCATATGGAATGCTGGGGATTGAGCCCTAGCTGGCCACATGCAAGGCAGACACCCTTCCCACTGTACTATCTTCTGACCCAGATATTGCGGCTGTTTTTGCCGTTGTTGCTTTTGGGCTACACTCAGCTATGCTCAAGGGTACTCCTAAATCTGCCCTTGGCAATTGCTCTTGGCAGTGTTCTGGGAACCATGTGGGATGCCGGGGATTGACCCCAAGTCGGTTGTGCGCAAGGCAAGCCCCCTAGCTGCCATACCGTAGCTTTGGCATGCAGCTAAGTTTCTTGTTGTTTTTATTTTTTTTGGTCTTTGTTGTTGTTGTTTTGGTTTGAGGGCTACATTCAGTGATGCTGGGGTTACTCCTGTCTCTGTGCTCAGGGATCGTTCCTAGCAGGCTCAGGGGAGCATACGGGATGCTGGGATTGAACCTGGGTCTGCCCTGTGCAAGGCAAGTGCCCTCCCGCTTGCACCACATCTAAGTTCTGAGACATTGAAGTAAGAGACACAGGACCAAAGCCTTTACCCTTGCCTCTTAGGGTGGAAGGAGGCGTCGGCCCCTCGGCCCTCAGTGCCCATCAATCCTTGAGCCACAGCAGGTCTTGGCTCTGCCAGGGGAGGGGGAGGCCTTCCAACAGCGAATGAGGAGCCTTTTCATCCACAAGCTGCAAATGATAGTAAGAGTCAGCTGCTCCCAGGAGCACTGATCACTCAAACCATAATCGAATCCCCAGCCCGTTCGTACCAGGTGCTGCTCCAACTTGGTCTTCTCTAACCAAGACCAAGTTAGAGTCCTACAACCATCTTCCTTAGGACCTCCCCTGTGCTGGGTGGGTTGGGCACAAAGCTCTGACTCTTGCTCCTCTGCCCCCACACCCTTCAGCTTGGCCCCCTCCCTTGGCACTGCTCCTGCTTCCCCATAAACCCGTAATTAGCACATCAGCACGGGGATTTGCATCGTCACTAAACAGCAGAGTGTTGGTTTTCCTTCCCTGGTCCCAGCCCCGTACCGCTAGTGGATCAAACTTCTTTCACTTTGGTTCGAACACTGGACAGAGACACTGGGAACACATGTTGCACCCCAGATTGCCCGTGGCCTACCTCCTGATCAGAGGCTATTCCGGTTCCCCCCGCACCTGCCTGCTTCCTAAAACTTCACCCAGACAATGTTCTCATTCCACACTTCACCCATCACCAGACAACAGGGGTGATCAAGAGTCTCCAGACTGACGGAGTGATAGCACAGGGGGTAGGGCGTTTGCCTTGCACGTGACTGAGCCAGGTTCGATTCCCAGCATCCCATATGGTCCCCTGAGTTCCGCCAGGAGTGGTTCCTGAGTGCAGAGCCAGGAGGAACCCCTGTGCATCGCTGGGTGTGACCCAAAAAGCAAAAAAAAAAAAGTCTCCAGACCACTCAAATCCACCCAGTTGTGTTCTACTAGATAGAGTCAGAATTTTACACCGCACAGGGGCGAGGGGCCAAGGGACCTCCATGACATTAGCCCAACAGCCCACTTCATCCTGCCACTGTCCGCTCTACTCCAGAGGTAACTCCCACCTCACGGAGGAGGACGGGTTCTACATACTCTGTGGCTTAAAGGCAGGGCTGAGATCTCTCCCAGGGCCCCGTGCTCTGCTTCTCCGCACACCACTCCTCCCACCCCCATTATGTAATGACTTACCAGCCCAGGCCAGGCTGCAGAGCAGGGTCAGCATCAGGGGTCCACAGAGCCTCATGGTTGGAGCCCAGCTGGAGACCAAGCTGGGACTGACGGTGGGACTTTCACTGGAGCCGAGCTGAACGTCACAGCTCCCAAATGAGCCTTATTTCCCAGGCGCTCTTTTAAAGACATCAGAACTTGTGAATCTGGTACCTCCAGATCCTTCCAGAAGGAAAATGGGGAGGGTGGGGCAGGGATGGATAAGCGGCGGAGAGGAGGTGGGGCCTCCCAGCTGTTTGAAGCCAAGGGGAAGATGACTGAGCAGACAGGTAAAGCCAGATGTTCTGAAAAGGGAATGCTGGTTGTTTGCTGCCAGAAACTAGGTTATGCGAGCAGGCACGGCAGGGTGAGTCTCTGCAGTCTGGAGTGTTCTCTGCCCAAATTAGGGGCACCCACAGACTTATTCACAAGGTGAAGTTCCCCTAATGCCCATCTCATCCACAGGCCGGCCCTACCAGAGACTACAAGAGGCTTCATATCTGCAGACCCAGCATGAGGAGTGTACCAAGAAGGGCATTAGGAGCAAGACACACAGAGAGTGCTGGAGCAAGAGACAGGTTGCTCAGAGCAGATAAAGAAGGCACAGGCCAAAAGTCAAGGCCGCTCAGGGCAGAGGAATAGTACAGGAGTAAGCCTTGGACATTGCTGGGTGAGAAGGAAAGAAGGAAAGAGAGAGAGAGAGAGAGAGAGAGAGAGAGGAGGAAGGAAGGAAGAAAGGAAGAAAGGGAGGGAGGGAGGAAGGAGAGAAGAGAGAAGGAAGGAGAGAAAGAATGAAAGAAAGAAAGAGAGAGAGAGAAAGAAAGAAAGAAAGAAAGAAAGAGAGAGAGAGAGAGAGGGAGGGAGGGAGGGAGGGAGGGAGGGAGGGAAGGAAGGAAGGAAGGAAGGAAGGAAGGAAGGAAGGAAGGAAGGAAGGAAGGAGAAAGAAAGAATCTGGGGCTGCTGTTGCTGTGAGGTCACCCAGAGCTGCATCACCTCAGAAGAATTATGCAAATAGACCTCTGACTCCTCTTGAGTCAGCACCTCAGGGTTTACAGTGTCCAGCTTCTCACAGGCTCCAGGGTTATGAGGCGAGGGAAGGGTCAGAGGCCTCTTAAAGGACCCACCCAGCCTCTCTTCAAGGGCCCAGACCTCCTGTCTTCTCCCCTGCTGCCACACCTCTCACCAACGGCCTCTTGGCAGAGAGATGAGGCTCCAGTGAGAGCAGAGCTACAGCGACTCGAGGCTGCCAAGTGACCTTCTCAGAGAGGCGAGCTCTGCTGTGTAAGGTGCCCTTTCCAGAAAGATCTCTGCCTGGGATTCGCAGTCTTCTCTGACTTCAGACGGTCTCCTACCGAAAAGCAAACATTGAGGAACCACCGAAAGCCTGCCAGAATGATGGGGAGAGGGCACATCCCGGACCCGATTCCTTTAAAAGAGGGTCATTAGAGAGACTCCAGTTTTCTCCTCTTTGAAATGACAGGGTTGGGACCAACTCCCCTTTCAAGTTCCCAGACTTTAAATTCGAGGCTTCCAGTCCCGCCCAAGGTAGGACAGTTGCCTGGGGGATCAAGAGAAGTCACAGCGCCTTGTTGGGTGAAAAAGAACCTGTGGGTGGGGACGCGGCTCCCAGAATCTCACCATGGAGTGGGACCCCGAACAGAACAACCCAAGAAAACGGCCAGCCCGGATGGGAAGCTTCCTGGGGGGAGGGACAGGCTGTGTCACCGGGGACTCCCTGAGGAAGTCCAAGTCAGACAAGGGACACAGTCCCTGTTAACGTACGTTTCCTCTGCACACCCTGAAAACAGGTCACCAAGCCACTGCCAGCCGCATTCCCAACGGCCACGCACTGGCGACATGTGGACCAACCTCTGATGCCAGTTGGGTTTGCAGAGCTAAGAATCTATCGTCTATTGGGAAGCAGTGATACCTGTGATTGGAGAGCAGGGGGTCTGTCTCTTCCCAGTACCCAGCAGTGTGGACCTTGGCGAGTTTAAGCCTTGTGGGGGGGGGGGCCCGGCCTGAGGGACCCTGTTAACCTGTGGAGCAGACTGTGGGTGCTCCTCCCCCCCCTCAGGAGGACCGTAGAGCAGAAGCCTGCAGGGAGAGGGAGAATGAGCCCATAACGCCGATGGGTCATGTGTAGCCCCGCCCTTCACAGCACACACCAACGCTGAGTGAGCCCTGAGCACATGTCCCACACGCAGGACGTCCCGAGTGCTTCATTCTCACAAGAGGACTGTTGTCATCCTCTCCTTACAGAGGAGGAAGCGGAAGTGTGGAGAAGTCGGCAGGTGTGCCCAGGAAGCACTCAATTATTGTTGCCACAGAGCACAACCCACGTCTCTCTAACCAGAGACCGTCCTTGTGGGCACTGATGCCACAGGATCATACCAATATCACACCTTTGGGCATCATCAACAACTTCTGTCTGGGTCACTATGCAAAGCGGTCTAGAATCAGACTCGGGATCAATGGAACCTCGTGGCCACTTAGTCCCACTTCTGGATGCTGCATGCCCTAAACAATTCTGTCCCCCCCGAAAGTCTCTGGTGCCGAGGGACCCCACCCCCTCGGGGTACTTCCATCCCCTCCCTTCCTAGATCTGATTCCCAATCCCCAGTTCCCAATTCCCAATCCAACATGCCGACAGGGATCAGGCTGAGTTGGAAACATTCTAATAGGCCAGCAACTCAACATGGGTCTATACAATCGCATGCAGATCCCTCACAAAGAAAATGACGTGCGTACGCATGCATCCACGGACACAGATGGACGCGTTAACGAACTCCGGCAGCGTCCTCTTCCCAGCTGCCCTGGCCAGGCAGAGAACTTGGCTGCTCCTCCTCCGAGATCGCCCCCACATGGGTTTGCCTCCCCACAACTCTTCCTGAGGCACTACCATGAAGGCCAGCCAGCAAGAGGGAAGGCCCAGAAGCCTGGCTCCCTCAACCAGCACCAGCGAGAAGTGTCTGGGGACAGCGAGAGCACGGCAGAGATGCCACCTCTGTGTCAGGAGGAGAGGGGAGTGCGCCGCTGGGGCCTCGGTGGGGGCCGGGGGGCTGTGCAAGAGCCTGGCGACTCATAGATGGGTCGCAGGAGGCCGTCGGCAGCTGTGGGCATGGGATCCCCATCAGCAAATATTTCCTGAGCACTCAGTGCGTGCCAGCTGCCCGCTGGGACTGGGCCGGCAGAGCATCGAAGCTGTCCGTGCAAGTGGTCAGTTTCTGCCAGGACAGTGGAACAGAGAAGCCCCAGCACCAGGCCGCTGCCTGAAGGAAATGCCAAGCCACTGCAGGCGACCGAGCTCATCTGTTCGCACCCGTAGAGGACACAGACCGAGACAGCTACAAAAGGGAGCATCTGTCCACCAGTCCCATCGTCCCCGTCCTCTGTGGAATCAAGGCCCAGCGAGGGTGACAAGGCCTAGGCAGCCAACAGGTGAGGCCTGGAGTCACCTCGCCAGGATGGCAGGAGCTGCTGACACTCCAGCTCGCTGTGACCCAGGAGCGAGGTCAGGTCATCCTCATTTCGAACCCCAGAGAGCCTCCGACCACCAGGACACCCCGGGTCGAGCCACCCGGCCACCACGAGTTGCCAGGCTCTGGCTGAGCGGGTCTCTGGGTGGCTCCACCCGTGTCTCCCACCTTCGCCTCTGTGCTAAGTGTGTCTGTTTCACTGCAAGTTGGGGGCAGCCCTGACAATCGGCATCGCAGCCGCCACCTGCTGCAGGCAGGTTAGTCAGAACTGCCGCCCAGCCCACTCATCGGCTCCGCCCAGGCCGTCCTTCCGGTTCTGCTGGTCACGCCCCACACCGGCTGACCCTCTGCCTGCAGCGCCCACCCCCTAGCTGGCCGGCTGCTGTTCTTCCTCCAGCTGCAGGGCGAATGGCTCTCTCTTCCGTAGATGGCTCCTGGCCCACTTTTTGATGTTTGTCCTGTGCCTCTGAATCACAGCCACCTGGGATCCACTGCCAGCAGGGTGTCAGTTAACCCTTGCCCTGCCACTCACCCTTCCCATCCATTCAAGCCCGCCTCTGAAGTTCTTTAAGGACCTTGCCTCTGGGTCTCCACGTGTCAGTGTGCACCAGGGACCAACCTTGAGTAGGCGAACGAGGGCATGCACAAACTGAGTGGTCAGCAAGACAGTCAACAGATCCTCCTGGAGGTCTGAGGCCACCCCCGCCCCCCCAAAGGCACCCCCCGCCTCCGGATTCTGTCCACGTAAGGGTTTGTGGCTAGTGGATGGAAGGATCGTTCGTCTCGTGATCGCATCACTGTAGGAAACACATTATTTGGGTGATGCTCCGTGTTGATGGGGGCTTGACTGGAAGCTTGGTGGATCTGAACTCCACCGCTGCTAAGAGGCCACCACAGGAATCAGACCAGACGGAGGACGCCAACGACTTCTGAACGCACAAAGTGACCAATAGCTCACCCGTGCCCGGCTTTTGCAGGATCCACCTGCCTGCACTTTTCGCCAGCTGTGTTAGTGTTTGTTTTATGGCGCCTAATAATGATTACTAAATAAACAAGTAACATAGTGACCATAAAATAACTCTTTTATCTCATGTCCTCAGACCCCAGCGGCTTGGGAGAGGGTCTGGAGACACAAACAGGAACAAGGAGAAGTAGACGGGACCACAGACAGCAATGGCCACAAGGCTCAGAGCGAGAGTGAGGAGGGGTGAGGGTTGATCAGCACAGAGGGCAGAGCAAGGCCAGTCTGGCACGTGGCCCCGCATCAGCCTCTCACCCCAGGTGCCTTGGCACAGCTGGGACGTTCTTCCTCGCAGAGGTCACCAGACTGGCAGGAGCAGTTCCTGACCCAGGGGCTGATGATCTGCAATCAGCCAGAATCACTGTCATTATTGTGCTGAGTAACTGGATGATGGCGATTTCCGCCTTTCTTGTCCATTTGTTCCTTTATTACACTGTGCTAAGCAGAAAGCAGCACTGAGGTGATGGGCTTTTGATTCATTCACTCATTTTTTTTTCGGAGGGGTCACACCCGACGATGTTCAGGGGTTCCTCCTGG